TAGTCTCTCATGGTTCGTCTCCCCCTCCGATTCCCCCCACCTTCATTTTTCCCTTCCTACTATCTTCTTTTTTTTAAAATGTATAATGTATTATTTGTTTCAGAGGTACAGGTCTGTGATTCATCAGTCTTACACAATTCACAGCGCTCACCAACATCTGTTGTTTCTTGACTTGTTAATTTTATCCATTCTGACTGGTGTGAGGTGGTATCTCATTGAGGTTTTGATTTGGATTTCCCTGATGCCGAGCGATGTTGAGCACTTTTTCATGTGTCTGTTGGCCATTTGGATGTCTTCTTTGGAAAAATGTCTGTTCACGTCTTCTGCCCATTTCTTGATTGGATCATTTGTTCTTTGGGTGTTGAGTTTGATAAGTTCTTTATAGACTTTGGATACTAGCCCTTTATCTGATAAGTCATTTGCAAATATTTTCTCCCATTCTGTCGGTTGTCTTTTGGTTTTGTTGACTGTTTCTTTTGCTGTGCAAAAGCTTTTTATCTTGATGAAGTCCCAATAGTGCATTTTTGCCCTGGCTTCCCTTGCCTTTGGCGATGTTTCTAGGAAGAAATTGCTGTGGCTGAGGTCGAAGAGGTTGCTACCTGTGTTCTCCTTTGGGATTTTGAAGGACTCCTGTCTCACATTTAGGTCTTTCATCCATTTTGAGTCTATTTTTGTGTGTGGTGTAAGGAAATGGTCCAGTTTCATTCTTCTGCATGTGGCTGTCCAATTTTCTCAACACCATTTGTTGAAGAGACTGTCTTCTTTCCACTGGACATTCTTTCCTGCTTTGTCAAAGTTTGGTTGACCATAAATTTGAGGGTCCATTTCTGGGCTCTCTATTCTGTTCCATTGATCTATGTGTCTGTTTTTGTGCCAGTACCATACTGTCTTGATGATGACAGCTTTGTAATAGAGCATGAAGTCCAGAATTGTGATGCCACCAGCTTTGCTTTTCTTTTTCAACATTCCTCTGGCTATTTGGGGTCTTTCCTGTTTTCATACAAATTTTAGGATTATTCCATTTCTTTGAAAAAAGTTGATGGTATTTTGATAGGGATTGCATTAAATGTGTAGATTGCTCTAGGTAGCATTGATATTTTCACAATATTTGTTCTTCCAATCCATTAGCATGGAACGTTGGTTCCCCTGGAAAGACTTCAGGTACCAAAACCTAAGTTAGTTTCCTATTACTTCTGTAACAAATTGTCACCAGCTTAGTGTCTTAAAACAATACAGACTTCTTATCTTACAGTTTTGAAGGTCAGAAGTCCAACACGGGTCTCACTGAACTAAAATCAAGGTATTGACAGGGCCATATTCCTTGCTAGTGCCTCTGGAGGAGAAGCCATTTCCTTGCCTTTCCTAGCTACTAGGAATGCCACCAGCATTCCTTGACTCTGTTCTTTCTCACATCACATCTCTCTCTGACCAGGCCTGGGAAGATTCTCTGCTTTTTAGGACTCATACAATTACTTCAAACCCACTTGGATAATCCAAGATAATGTTCCCATCTCAAGGTCCATAGCCTTAATCACATCTCCAAAGCCCCTTTGCCATGTAAAGTAATATACACACAAGTGACAGAGATTAGAACATGGGCATCTTTGGAAGGCCATTATTCTGCCTACCAGACCTATATCGCTTAACCCCTCTGAGCCTTGGTTTCCTCATCTGTCAAATGGGGATAATAGTGCCTACCTCCTAAGGTTGTTGTGAGGATTCCATGAATTAGTGCAAGAATAGCACATGGTAAGCCTTCAGTAAGTGCTGTTATTATTTCTGACCTCTGAAGTAGCAATCAGCAAAGCAGCCTCTTCCCGGGTCCCAGCAACCTGTAGAAATCACAGCTGCTTTAATATTGGTGTTTTCAGAGAGGGAGAAAATATTGCTAGGGAAAAAAAACCCAACATGAATTCGTGCTGCTTGAATATTTTATTCCTGGGAGCTCTATGACCTCTTGCCACAAGACAGGACATAGGGCAACTACAGTCATTCTGAGTCACAGCAGCTCATGTTTTATTTATCTGGAGCCACAGAGATGGAATTTGGAAAAAAGTCATATGTGATATTTAGAACTGATAACTACCCTCATTTTCCCCCATTCACTCCCAAAAGTAATCATCCTCTTGCTAATAGATTTAGCTAACACGCTCTGTGCATTAGTGCAGGAAGAGCCTCTTTCTCTCCAGCAACGAATACAGGGGTCCCAAACGCTGCTGTGAGTCATTTGTAATTGTATCATGTGAGAAATGGAAGCCTGTGGTTGAAGCAGGGACAAAGCCGGCAGGGATATTTCTGTTAACAATTGAAGATCCGTACAGACATTGGGACACCCAATGTTTTGATGGCAGCTTTGGGGAAGGCAAAGTGATAGGAGTTTAATAGCTTTTGTAGCATGCCTTGATTAAATTAAAGGCCTGGCAAATAAGTCCTATAAGAAAAAGTTAAAGTAATTAGTTTAATTAACCAGGAAAAGACTGAGGGATGACTTAATCTTCCATATGAGATGAAAGGTTTTTAAATGAGGAAGATATGGTCCTGCTGCTTTCCGTGCCCACAGAGAATTAAAGGGAAAAAAAAACAAGCAAACTTTGAACTGAAACAGTAGAGATTCATGTTGATTTAGAGGAGGGCTCCATAAGTAAAATGCAGGCCTGAATGCAGTGAAGTCCCTAACTCTAGTAATTTTTAAGAAAAAAAATTAGTGGTGGTGTTTTTACATGTCTGATGTCAGAAAAGTAAACATTCATATTTATGATTTCAGTCCAGGGATACTGCCTCCTTGAAAAAAAAAAATAGCTTTACTTCAGGTTATCTGAAGGACTTCAAAAAAGAAACAATGTTAAAACAAAAATAAAACTGAGAACTCAAAATCACATTAGTATTTTCTTAAGGGTGGGAAAATTTTAGACATTCAGTCAATTAATATTTATTGAACACTCAGTTTATTAGACATTAGGTCTGTTTTTTGGCAAGTTGCTCGTAATAAATTTGAGGCGTCATTTATTCATGAATTCCATAAATACGGATTGAGTGACTGTCGGTGCCCAGGCACTGAAGACAGTAACAAAGAGGACAGATAAGGTCCCTGTTCTCATAGAACCCGTGTGTTAGTCAGGGAGACAGAAAAAAACCCATAAGTGCATGAACAGGAAGTAGTCCAGATGATGATAAAACTCTCTACAGTAGATAAGGGGTGGCTCTGCTAGATCAGAGTGGTCAGAGAAGATGTCTCGGAGGAGGTGATCTTTAAGCTGAAATTTGAGTGATTGGAAGGAGCCATTGTAGGGAGATCGGGGAAGGAGTATTCCAGGCAACTCCAGCAGTTAGTGCAAAGGCCCAAAGGCAGGAGCCATCTGAGCTTTGCAGAGCACTGGGGGGGAAGCCATCTGTGGCTGGCTCAGGTGGGCCATCCAGGATTTTATTCTTAATGTGATAGGAAACCGTAGGAGGTTTGAGCAAAGGAATGACTGGATTTAATATATATTTCTAATACATATATCATCCTGGATAAGTCTCATTAGCAGTGCACAGTGAAAAACCAGGAAGTAAAAACTAGTATGATTCTGCATGTATAAAGTCCATACACATGCAAAAATAAACAGGGTGCTGTTTGAGGATACATAAAAGGTAGTAAACTATAAAGAAAGTGAATAATAAACACAAAAATTCATTGTAGTGGTTGCTGGGGAGATCCTAGGAGGAGTGGAGAACAATTGGGGAGTGGTACGCAAGAGACCTCAGAGGTCTTGGCAGGTTCTCTCTCTCTGGCTGGGTGCAGGGCATGCGACTGCTTGTCATATTATATAAATACCTTATGTGTGTATCATATATGTTCTCTACGAATGACATATGTCATTATTCAAGTTGTGCTTTGACATGATTCCTCTGACTGCTGAGTGGCTGGATTGTAGAGGCAAGAGTCGAATCAGAGACAAATTGGAAGCTATTGCAGGGGTTAGGGAGAAGGTGGCAGGGAGTGGGGGAAAGGAAGGTGTTACCAGCTGGTGCAACGAGGTATGTATTGATGCCATTCATTGGGGGGTGAAGGCCCCAGGAAGGATAGGTGGGGAAGGAAGGCATTCAGGAGTTTAGCATTGCCCATATTTTGGGGATATGGCTATTAAACGTGCATGTGGAGATGCCTAGAAGATAGTTGGATAAATGAGACTGGAGTTGCCCATCTCAGGGTCATTGGCATATAGGTGAGGTTAGAGCTCTGGGTCTGGATGCCTGAGGCTCCTTATATTGTTCTCATATGTTTATAATTGTCTTAGGAACGCCAGTCACCCTCAGCTCTCATAGGAAAACTTGCAAAATCCGAAAGGGAAGTGTGGCATTCTGAAGACTTTGTATAAAATAATTTATAGTTTACTCTTTTTCATCTTTTTCATTTCTAGATTTTAGAAATATTAATTTTCTGCACTCTGCTATATTTCCATAAGAGAAAGGAAATGAAGCACATGGTGATACTGTTAACCCTGGTGGCACTTCTCGGTAAGGATGCGCTTTGTTTCCCAATTCTCTAATCTAGCCATGCGAAGTCAGGAAAGAGATTGGAAGGAGGCTCTTGAGCATTCATTCGATTCCTTTCTCGTTGTTTCTACTTTTCAACTCTGAACTGTAGTAATAAACCCAGTCTCAATTATGCAAATTATATTTTGCATGTCCATGGCTACAATTGGTATGTTTAATTCTTTTAAAAACATATGTAAGGGTTTTTACTTCTTGGTAATCTTATTTGCTGTCTGACAATTTGAGAATTGTCTTTCTTAGTATATAATTGAAAATTATTAAAAGAGGAACAAATGAATGATCCCAACTGAAACTTTTGTGTCAGGAATTACTTACCAAGACTGATCTTGTTTACATGTTTTAAAAAACTTTAATGAAATATGGCTAATAAGAAACGTAAATGTAAGCAGTATGATTTTCTTAAAAACATTTCTTTCATTCGTTGTTGAGCCACCCATCTCCTTTTTTTTCCAGAGTCATCTTATAAAATTTGAAAAGTGTTACTTCTATAAGCCCACTATATATATATTTTTTAAATCTACCCTCTCCCCTCCTCTCTCTCATATACACACACACACACACATACACACACACACACATACACACACACATACACACACACATACACACACTCTCATATACACACACACATACACACACTCACATACACACACTCACATACACACACTCTCATATAAATCAACACTAGGAGCTCTCACTAATCATTTGGAAAATTGCCTTTTTAAAGATTTATTTATAATGCTTCTTTTGCCTCTTCTTTGCAGATAAGATGATCCATACATCGTGTGTTGTTGGCTATGACTCTGTAGGTTATACTTACACCATTGGGACAGGCAGTGCTCATGTTAAGGAAGGGCTAGAGCTTTCATTTTTTTTCATTTCACGAGCTAATTCTCTCCTTTGAATTGGAAGATTTGTATTTGTGGTAGTTACTTATAGAAACAAATTTGTACTATGTTCAGGTATGCTATTGATCAAAAGAACAGAAAAAGAACTTTATATTTGTTTCTTTCCGAATTACCAGATAGGGAGAACAAAAGCAAACAACTGAGAGACAAAATGTGTAGTATATAGGAAAATATTGAAAACAAAGGAAATTTTAAATAGGAAAATAAGATAACAGTATTAAGATCATACACATCAGTTATGATCATAAATGCAAATGGGGTAAATTTACCTGGTAATAAAGATTTCCAAATTGGACTTCAGAAAAATTCCCAGCCTGATTTTGAAAAGGATTCTGAAATTGGATTCAGCCAGTGTTCTCTGGTTCAGATCTGTGAGAGTTGTAGAAATAGTGTCCTTTCTGACTGGCCCTTGCTGGTTGTGAAATACTTTGGCTTCATACATAAATGTCATCTAAAACAAAGTAACTCTGTTTGAAAGTAAAAGAAAGCAGAAGGCCATACTATTACTATCTAAGTTAAAATCAAGGCGGAAGCATTAAATGCAGCAGAGGCTCCTGGAAGCCCCACATTAGTATTTAGCTGCTCAGCATGGTGGGCCTGGGGGGTGAGGGGGGAGACACCAAGGCCGGGAGGCCTCAGGAGACTCGGGCAGCCGCTCTTTTGAAAACGACATTAACAGAAATATGAGAGGAGGAGAAACTTCTCTTAGCTCGTGGAAGGTAGGTAGACAGAAAGATATGTAAGGATAGAGGAATGAGTCCTTAATTTTGATCTAATGTTGAACTCTAAATTCTGGAAAACAGACCACACACCTGCTTTCAAGTGCCTGTGTGACATTTACAGAAGTTAATCGTGTCATTGGCCACAAAGAAATCCTTGATAAAGTCCAGGAAGTTGAAATAGTACAGACCACATTCTTAGATCACAGTGAAAGAAAAACAGAAAATAATAACAAAAATAGAAACAAGTAAAACCGTAACATCTGGAAATGTTAACACTACTCTTAAACTGCAGCTGGGCCCAAGTAGAAACCAAGATTTCATTGCAGCATATATTTTAAAAATTATTATGAAAACACTTACTATTAAGCCTATAGTTTATGACTAATGCTGTATTCAGAAGGAAATTCATTACTTTAAATGTAAGTCAAGCATTCCACTCAAAAAGTTAGGGAAGAAAAACACTGAAATAAAGCTGAGGCGAGCAGAAAGGAGCAATTAATAAAGGTAAAAAAATAATGAAATAGAGAAGAGAAAAGCAATGGATTGATAAATAAACCCAAGAATCTGTTATTCTTAAAAGACATTACAATAGATCCTCCATAAGACCAAAAAAAAAATCTCAAATACCCAAAGTTAGAAATAAAATTGAAAACAAATATGAAAACTTGGTTAAATAAAGGAAAATAACTATGGAGGAAATAGAAGCTACATCCTGAAAAGAACCAGGACTGCATACTTTTACTTTCAACCTAGACAGTAATGCCTTTAAATCTTTAAGAAACAGATTATTCTGATGTTGTTCAAACTATTTGAGTACATAAGAAGAAAGCTTTCACCTTTTTTTTTTTACATAATCAGTATAAATACTGATCCCAAACACCACACATAAAGAATACCATGAACTAATTTCACTACTGAATATTACTGTAAAAGTCTCTAATAAAAAGAGGTAGGTAGAATCCAGGAAAAAAAAAATCATTCTTCACTTAAGACCAAGTGGTCTTAATGAAACTGGTTCTTTTTTCTTTGTAACACTTACAATAATTTGTACTTGCATAGTCTACTCATATATGTATATTCTGGTATGAACTCATCTCCCCCACCCGATTAGTTCTATGAGGACGCAGTCATGTCTGTTCTAGTGACACTGTATATAATTACCTAGAACTGAGGACAGTGAGTGCAAAGTAAACATTTTGAATTAACTGAATTAATTATGGGAATGAAAGGATGGTTCTTTAAGAAATCCATTAACATAGTTCATCATGTTAATGACTCGGAAGGGAAATATCATGTAAATCAATGCTGAAAAGACATGTTAAAGTTTAATATCCATTGCTAATAAAGAATTCGAAATGCAATCGGAATAGAAATATCTGTGTATTAACAACATGTTTCTCTCTTTTTAATAATTTTCACTTTATTGGGAAATATTGACACATATAGTGTATATATCTAATTGTACACATGATAATTTGATATGCATATACATTGTAGAGTGATTACCGAGCTCAAGATATAATGAACATATTTATCACCTCGTATGGTTAATATAGTTCACTGTTTTGTGTGTGTGCAGTGAGAATGCTCAGCAACCTTGGAGTACACAGTACCGCGTTATTAACTGTAGTCACCATGCTCGTCTTAGATCCTCAGAACTTAACTCTTCTTAAACTAAACATTTGGACCCTTCGACTTACATCACCCCGTCTGCCCCTATCCCCAGCCCCTGACAACCACCATTCTATTCTCTGTCTCTATGACACTGGAAGAATGTATTTCTCTCTCTCTCTTTTTTTTTAAAGATTTTATTTATTTGACAGAGAGAGACACAGCGAGAGAGGGAACACAAGCAGGGGGGAGTGGGAGAGGGAGAAGCAGGCTTCCCGCTAAGCAGGGAGCCCGATGTGGGACTCTATCCCAGGACCCTGAGATCATGACCTGAGCCAAAGGAAGATGCTTAACGACTGAGCCACCCAGGTACCCCAAGAACATATTTCTCTTAACCCAAAAGCTGGAGCACACCCATTGGTGAAAACCAGAAATGTTCTCACTACAGTAAAAAAAGGGAAAAAGGTATCCACTCTTCACTTTATACTTACCTGTGCTGGCTGGGCATTTTACAATGATCAGTAATGACTTTTACAAGAAAAAAATGATTGTGAAAATCATGTAGCAGCTTTGAAAAATATGTATAGTGTCAGGTTAAATGAAAAAGTAGCACACAATAGTGTACCTACCTTTGCTGTGATTAAAAGCACACATGGGTATTAAGGAGGACACGTACTGCATGGAGCAGTGGGTGTTATACGAAAATAATGAATCATGGAACACTACATCAAAAACTAATGATGTATGGTATGGTGAGTAACATAACATAATAAAATAAAGTAAAATTTAAAAAAAAAAAGCACGCATGAGGCGTACACTGGAAATGAATGAGAGGCAGTAGGCAGGTGGATTTTTCTTTTACTTTATTGTTAACATAATATTGTTTGTGTGACAAATTAAAAAATGAACTAAAAAAGAAAACAAAGTGAGTGAGGGCAACTGGGAAGAAAGAGATCTGGGTTCTGGTGCCCCATGCTTGTGGCTGCAATCTGCTTTCTTTTTCTTTTTTTTTAAAGATTTTGTTTATTTATTTGACAGAGAGAGACAGCGAGAGAGGGAACACAAGCAGGGTCCCCGCTGAGCAAGGAGCCCAACGTGGGGCTCAATCCCAGGACCCTGGGATCATGACCTGAGCCGAAGGCAGACGCTTAATGACTGAGCCACCCAGGTGCCCTTGCAATCTTCTTTCTTAAAGGAGTCTTAAGACTCCCAGCAGAATGCTCAGCTGATCAGGAAGCTGGAAAGCTAGGAGGTCCTTCTCTCTGCTCTGCATACTCAGATTAGAGAAGCCAAATTAATAAATGAAATATTGATGGCTCTAATAAGGAGACATTGATGGCAATTTGGGAAAGTCTCTGGAAGGAGCATTTGATGAAGTAGGAGGGAACTGAGAAGGCCAGATTTCAAACACAGGTCAGCTATGTCAGGTAAAAATAGTATGCTCTAATGTCTATTGTTGAGAAATAAGAGATTCATCAAGAAAAACATAAAAATCCATGTAAATGGGAGTGTGACTGGTACTCTATAGAAGGTGGCTTGCCAGTGTATTTCAGAAGAACAGCAGCTGTTAACAAAGTCCCCGTTAGGTGATTTTCCTAGGGCAATTGGCAGAGTGGCATGCAAAGATTTGTGTTCAGGAATATTTATCACAGCCTCATTTTTAATACCAAAAAAAAAAGGATGCAACCTAAATATGCAAAAATAGGGAATTGCCAAGATAAAGTATACACTGATGCAAAGGCATACTCCACAGCTGATGAAAATCATGCTTTAGAAGAATATTTAATGGCATAGAAAAATACTTAATGGCAATTGAAAATAGGTTCCTAAATAGTATATACTGTATGATTCATATGTTACAATATATTCATACTTAGAGACAGAAAAATAGCTACAAAGAAATATTCCCAAATGTTAAAAATGATTTGGGGATGAGTGTTGAGATTACAGGTGATTTTCATTTTTCTTTCCAGGCTTTTCTGCATTTTCCAAATTCTCTTAAAGGAACATGTAAACTTTTATAGCTTAAAAAAATGAGTTTAAAGATTATTCATAATCCCAGTGCCTAGAGATAGCCACTGATAGCATCTTGGTGTAGTTTCTTCTAGCATTTTTCCTAGACTTTTTTTCTGTATATAAAAAGAGAAGATACATACTTTATATTTTTATATATATGTTAGAATGATACTGCGTTAAATTTTGTATTTTCACCTGTCTTCATTAACCACACGCCCACCCAAAAATAAAACGGAAATACTTGTCACCAGCCTAGAAGTAACTTGCAGAGTTACAATAGAGTTATTAATCAGTTGGTGATTGTACATGCTTTGAAAATACAGTGATTAACTATAGCAAGCCGATAGTTGGTTTAGCTGTTTAATAAAAAAGTCTACTTTTGTTTTTGTTTTGCGGTTAAGTATAATTTAACATCAGATGGTAGTTGCATTAGATGACCTTGAAGGGCCTTTGCAATCCGAAGGTTGTGAGGCTAATGGAACGGTGTGTTCAACTCCTTCCCATTAGTGATCCCTTTGGGAAACCTGGCTGTTCGGACCACAAGACCATAACCACATTGTGCTCAATTTCAAGCAAAATTTTGAGGAGGAAACCAAGGTCCCTTAAGAGCTAACCCTACAAACTCAAACCATCAAGTGACACACATCACCGCAGATATTTAAAATTCCTAGATTAGCTAAGGTATGACTATTGTCATAATCTATAGAAAACATGTAAAATGATGAGGTCAAAAGACATTTTGAGATGAAGAGGAGCCTGGTTGTAAGGACCTCTTTGTTCAGATTTGGGGTTTGTTTTTAGAATTTATCGACTGTTCTCTGTTAATTATGACTCTTAATGGAAAGAAAATGTCTAATTTGGAAGTGTGGCATGGTACTCTTCAAATTAAAGTATATTTTCAGTTTTTGGAAAGGAGATTATGGGAGGCTTTCCCTGGTTAGCCATCAGCTGCTATTTTAAACTGATTTTATATATACATATAAAATATATGAAAGCTAAAATATTCAAAAGCTAAAAGGGATAAAGCCCAGATATATTATGACCAAGTAGACCAACAGCACCAAAGACAATGTTTCTCCTTCACATTGCCTTTGATTATAGTTATTTGATTTCATGTAAAAATTATTTTTCACTTTCTGTAGGTTTCAGCTAAGTTATGGAATTATATGCAACATTAAATGAACAAAAACAAAAAGAAAACATGATTTTCTTCCTACAGAGACATGATGCTTCTAGGAAATGCTTCATTGCTTTCATGTTATAACTTATCAAGTCACTTCGTTGCTATTTGGGACCTATGTAAAACTTGTTCTCCTATGGATATGTTCCTCTTTAGCATAGAGAATAGACATTGCTTATGTAAACCTTAGATTTTATGGTTGACTCTGAGAAATGCATGCTCAGCTCTGGTCCTGCTTCCTATTACTGTCTTTGTAAAAAAATATATATTTGTTTCATGAAACTTCTAGGCATTTATGAACAAAAAAGCTCATACAGAGACTCAGGACAACTCTTAGCAAACTCACAGAGTGAGCTACCTTCCACACTCTGGTTTTCTCATGTGTTTGGCTTTAAATTTTTTCAGTATAGTTTAATAGTTATTTTCCCCTTCGTGTCACATGGACTGTCTGACTTTTCTTCTCTCCCCCCTTCATTGTTTTCTGCTCTCCCATCTCCTAGTAATTATAAACTCTGCAGCATCCTTTCAACAGTAAGGGCTGGAAAATAAGTATCTTGCCGCAAAGATAAAAAAGCACCCTGTCGCACAGCAGATCTTTAGCTGATTTAAGCAAAATCAGAGTCCAGCGCGGCTTCGGGCGAGAGAGCTACTGGTTGTCTGGCACCCCGTCCTACCATCACCTCACTCGAGCCTGCATTCCGAAAGCATAATGGGGGTTATTGACGGCTCCACTGTGCAAACTGGAGATATTTGTTTGTGATTCTGTCTCAAAGATGTATTTTATTTGTGTTTCTTGTTTTCTTTTTCAGCCTCGCTGACGGTTATCTCAGTAAAAGCAGTCTCAGGCATGATCACTTTTTCTGTGACGGATAAAATGCAACTAACTTATCCCATCTTCTATATCATGTTTATCATCATGATCGCATCTTGTATTTTCCAAGTCAAGTAAGTTAGCTTCTGCATACTCACTCATCTTTCAACATTCCTGTGCTTCTCTGAGCATTAATCTTTATTGGCGTCTGTTGATAATTAAAATGAGGTGCAACTGATTTCTAAAGGTGAAGGGTCTACAGCTTATCCTCAGCCAGCATGCCTCACTTTATCCTCCGTGTCCAATAATAAGTTTTTTTTTTTTTTCACTGAGCATTGCCTTCATGTCTTGTGAGTTCTAAAGTATGGCCATAATCTAGCTAAGTGCACTGTGATACTTTCCTGATGCTCTTCTGCTTGTAATTAATATCCATCGTACGCAGGTTGTCATTAGCAATAAATCAAAGGGGCAGGTCCACATCCAGGATTTCATTCTAAATATAGGAAATACATGAACCCTTCACCTTCATCCTTAGCTCATGCTCATTAATTGCCCAGGGATGGACAAAACCAGACGTTTGGCTGGGAGGGAAATCCTTTCCCCAGAACTTTGCATCATTGGCCAGAATTTTCTTTGTACCCCTGGGATGGCGGAATGATTGTTTTATGTTTCTCTGGGGGCCTAATAGTGGTGACATGGAACATTTTAAATTTCTGTTCTTCTCTCCCCCCCACCTCCATCTGCTCCAGTCACTTCCCCTCCATTTCACATCGTGATTATGGCTTTGCCTGCGAGGCTGTCTTTAGTCAGCCAGGAAGTTTTCTGTTTATCCCAAAATGCTGTGCAAAAGCACCATCCCAGTGTCAGCTGGGAAATCAGAGCCTACACTCAGGAAGAGAGTGCTCCTCTCCGCAGGCGCTGGCAGTCAAGTCTAATAGCCGCGGGGCGGACATGGGCCCTGTTGCAAGGAATGTGGACAATGACTGGAGAACCCCAGTGCTTGGTCACTGTTTCACTTGTCATTTCCTTATGAGAATGAGTGTGTTTCTCAGGCTTGGCCCTCGCTACTTTCTTTCATCTCCCTTTCTTCTTCTGAGTTCATCAGCACTGCTAGAATATCTTTTGGAGTTTCGAGATGAGCATTGTTACCTTTCAACTCCGCTTTATGGATTTCAGTGGCAGGTAGAGCTGAAGGTACCCTGCATTTTCCTATCCCCCTTGTTCTAGTCCCTGCCTCTGCCACACTGGAGCTACGGTGAACGCACTAGAACCGTAGGACTGGCCACCCAGCGAAACCGCCCAAGGAGGTGTGTTTGTTCATAGATAACGTACATATATATATATATATACACACACGCACATGTATACATACGTAAGTGTGTGCACATGGGCACATGTGTACACACACACGCTCAGGCACATCGGGGCTCTACCCACAGAACATTTTTTTTCAGTTGTGCTAGAATAGGAGCTGAACTTTTTTTTTTTTTTTAATTGTCCAGTTGGTGTCAGTGACAGGGCAGTGCATCTTCCTTGGGGGAGCTGGAATCACGCTGGTGGCCAGAGTGAGACACTGAGCTCTCACATGTGCTCTGCAGCTGGCGTCCTGAGCATTGTTTTCCAAACGTTAAACATTCCTTCACTTCTCCATCTTCTTTCTTGGCACGTGGCATGTCAATGGATAGCTATACTATTCCCCAGATATGCTATTTAACAGATTCTAGGGTCTATTCTAATGAATCAGCTCCAGTGTGATACTGGTCCAGCAGCTTGAATCGCTTCCAACTCAAACTTCTGTGGCCTCAGAATATGATTAATTGCTTTTCATTGTTACTGTTGTTGGTTTAAACAGACCATAAAACCTGACATCTGATCTCATACATCAGATGCATATAAGCTATGACTGCTGATTGGAAATGCCCTTTTACTGCACTTCCTCTCCCTTTGTAGTTGTAGCTTAAGGACATGCATTTCTTGATGTTATTGTTAACTTATGGCTGAGCGTCTCTTAAAGCCAGGGCTCCAGTAAGTGCCTTCTGCTCTAGGTTCCTGAATCAAGCCACGAAACTCTACGGTACAACGACGGTGGTGCCGGTCAACCATATTTTCTTTACGACCAGTGCCATTATTGCAGGTGAGCTTTGGCTTTCTATCCTCAGGTGATTCTACCCCCACACCAGACATAAATCAAGTTTCTGTCTGAGTAAATGAGACAATCAAGGAATCTTGAGGTTATAAGGAACTGTGTAGCCCACGTCATATCATCCTCACCTCCACCCAGGACTGAATTTCCTCCATAACGTCCCCTAGGATGGGTTATTCTGCTTTGTGTGAAGGCTCCCCAGGGTTCTCTGTCCCCAGAGATAGCGCAGTTCTGTTTTGGATCACTCTAATTATTTGGAGAGCTTGAATTATTAGAAAGTGTTTCCTTATACTGGCCTTGAAACTAGCCTCCCTGTGAATTCAAGACTCTCATTTTAGTTCTGCTTTCTGGAGTCTTCTCCTTGCCAGCCCTTCTGATAATCAAAGCAGCTGAAGGGTCCTCTTGTGTCTTCTCTCTGGACCAAACATCCCTATTTCCATGAATTCTTCCCTCCCTGTCCCTCACTGCCTTGATCAGAGAGAGGGGTCCAAAACTGAATCCGAAACTGAACCCAGTGTTCCAGGGAAGGCCAAGCAGATGAGCATAGAAACTATTATCCTTGCTGCTCTGACCTCTGTTTTTCTGCTATTATAGTTCTTCGGTATTTACTGACAATTATATATATATATATATATATATATATATATATATATATATATATGAGACACAATAGTGTTCTTAAAAAAGCACAAATTTGAAAATTGATCCAAATCAAAATACAGTAGATTCCGGTATCTCACTCCTAAGTTTAGTACTGGTGTGGCCTAGTTTACTGGCTTATTGGATATATTTACTACCTTCTCATATTGGAAGTTCATTTCCCAAAGCAAAATTTATGCATTTTGGAAGCAATTAAGGATTATGTTCCCTAATTGGCACATCTTTCTTATTTCATGGCAAACAATGTGACTGCTAGTGGACAGTTTTTAAGAGTAATTGATGCATTTGTTTTATTTCCCAAAATTGAACCTTACTTTTAAAGAGAAAGATCATATACCAAGACATCTGATTTTTTTTAGCATTTTATGCTTGTTGACAAAAGAAAGTAAGAAAAGATTGCACATTTGTGTGCCCTAGAATTACTAGAAAAAAATTAATAGGGCCAAAAAGAGTTGCAGGCACGACATATGTCCTAATAGTTAATGTTGTAAAGATGTATAAATAAAAGGTAGTTCCCTTGAAAAGAACATTTTGTAGGAGGACCAACAGAGCTGGAATCTCAATACTCAACACACCAAGTAATTGATGAGTCAGGGAGGCTGGAGCTTTCTGGGAGCGATCATTCATCTGCTGTTGCTGAAGTGTGAAATGGAGATGAAGCTTCTTGACTAACTTTCCCTTTTTGCCCCCATCAAAAAGTCTAGCTTAAGATTGAAATGCAATACCATATTTTTCCTAGAAACTAGTAAGGTTTCTGTTTTGTTCTTTTTATTGCTATAATAACTGATGCCCACAAGGCATGACAGGTGCTCTCGTGGAGTTGGGTGGCATGGACCGCCCTCCTAGAGCTCAGTTTCATAGAGAGCCTGAAAAATGTTTCTATTCTCTGATCCTACAGCTCAACAACAACAACAACAAAAATAACCCAATCTAAAGCTGGGCAAAGTCCTTGAATAGACAGTTCTCCAGAGAAGATGTACAAATAACCAATAAGCACATGAAAAGATGCTCAACATCATTAATCCTTAGGGAAATTTAAGTCAAAACCATGAGGAGATACCACCTTATACCCATTAGGATGGCTACTAGCAAAAACAAAACAACAAGAACAACAACAAAATTAACAAGTATTGCTGAGGATGTGGAAAAATTTGAATTCTATGCACTGTTGGCGGGCATGTAAAATGGAGTAGCCACTATGGAAAACACTATGGCAGTTCCTCCAAACATTAAACATAGAATTACCATGTAGTCCAGCAATTGCACTTCTGGGCACATATCCGAAAGAATCAAAAGCAAGGACACGAAGAGATACCTGTATGCCTGGGTGATAACAGCATTATTCACAATAGCCAAAAGGTGGAAGCAATTCAGATGTCCATCAATAGATGAGTAGAAAGAGAAAATGTGGTATGTCATACAATGTAATATTATTCAGCCTTAAAAAGGAAGGAAATTCTAACCCATGCGACAACATGGATGAACCTTGAGGACATTATGCTGAGTGACATAAGCCGGTCATAAAAAGACCAATGCTGTATGATTGCACCTATATGAGGTATCTGGCATAGTCAGACTTACAGAAATGGGCAGCAGAGTAGTGATTGCCAGAGGCTGGAGGAGGGGCAAATGGGGAGTTGTCCTTTAATGGGTATGGACTTCCAGTGTGGCCAAGTGAGAAAGGTCTGGAGATTAGTTGCTCAACAGTGTGAATATACTTCGCACAACAACTGCAAACTTAAAAATGGTTATGATGGTAAACTTTAGGTTATTTGTATTTTACTACAAATTTTTTTAAAGATTTTATTTATTTATTTATTTATTTATTTGTCAGAGAGAGCACAAGCAGGGAGGAGGGTCAGAGGGAGAGGGAGAAGCAGGCTCCCCGCTGAGTAGGGAGCCCGATGCAGGGCTCGATCCCAGGACCCTGAGATCATGACCTGAGCTGAAGGCAGATGCTTAACCGACTGGGCCACCCAGGCATCCCTTTACTACAAATTTTTAAAAAAGATGTTTCTATTCTTTACAAAAGAAATTCTGCTTTAAGGGGCAATAACAAGAAAAATCCTAAAATACTGAGAAAAAAAGAAATGTACAAAGAAGTTTATTGCTACTTGACTAAAACAAAAAAATTTCAAAACAACTTAAAATGCCCTTAGAGAAATGAATATTATGGTACATCTGCTTAGGATAACATGGGAACATTAAAATGATTACAAGGAAGTATGCAATAACATGGAAGAATGCTCTCAAAATGTTTATCCACTCGACAAATATTTATTAGAACTGGACGTGGCTTCTGCCTGAACGAGGTTTATTCTCTAGGTGAGGAGATGGGCTTCTGAGAGTGCTCCTTGGGTATAGGACTCTGGCTTGTCCATCATGGTAGCCACAGCACCTCGCATCGTGGCAGGCACGTAGGACTCCATAAATATTTGTCAGCTGACTAGCCAGGCTAACACCACACACACACACACACACACACACACACACACACACACACACACAC